TAGTTATATCGAAGATGGAGGCACCATGCAGAAGTTACTTCAGGGGAAGTGCCATCTCACTATAAAAAAAAAACTTTACCATGAGAACAATTAAATATTGGAATAGGTCACACAGGGAAATGGTAGAATGTCCCTCACTGGAAATATTCAAGACTGCTTGACAGGATCCCTGGATTACCTAATCTAAGGCCCTGCTTTGAACAGAACACTGTACAAGCTCTCCAGAGGTCCCTTCCAACCTAGGCTTTTCGATGTATTCTACAGTTCTATGAAATTCTGGAAAGTTGTAATGTATTTGAAATTTGATTGAGCCCTCCAGCCTCTTCAAAAACAATTCCTTCACCTATAATTAGCTCATCTTACAAATACTTCAGCAATACTACAATTTACTGTAACTTCATAATAAGCAGGCAATGCTTTGAAAAGTTGTTGTACAGTATTCTATTAAATATTTTTCCACCACTCAGCATGACAGTAACATCAACAGAGGAAATGAGTGAAAATCTACTGGTCTGGCAAATGGATGAGAATCAGCTTGTTCCTTCCTGTATCTGTAAAGATGGCTGCATATATGACCTTCCCGTCTCCTTATTGATGTAGGACTGTAAACCTCTGAGTAACAACACCTATTCTGGCATCTTGGGTTGAAGACTGACAGGTTGTCCTTAAAGATAGTAGGAGTGGGAACCCTTAGACTCTAAAGATATATTGAGGCACCTAATAGGATTTCTAAAGGCAGATGGCTATCTTATTCCTAGCAATTATCAGGTATTTAGGTACTGTAGAAGTTTAAAAGTTCAGAAATGCATTTCCATGTAAATTATTACCTTTAAAATGCAGCCAAAATCCCTTGCAGGTAGTAAGAACGAACCATGAAGAGCAGTGTCTAGGAGGAGTGCCTAAAGAAGCGATCAGACTGAAGCTAGTACAGATCCTAAAGAGTCTCCCAAAGGTTCCTATGTCATTATTTTGAGTCTAAAATAAAAATCCCGGACAGGAAAGGCTGAGTTGAACTTTTCAGTGCAAATGGGGAATTCTTGCCATCACCTGTCTGCTAACCAGAGTTGATGGTAATCTTTGAGCTGACTTTCAGGTGGCACAGGTTTTCATGTAATCCCAACTGAGCAACTTCTGCAAGAATATTCATTGAGTGATGTACACACACCCCTGGGGCCCCTCTATGTTAGAGTACATGATTTGCCGCAGATCCAGCTTTAAGGTTTTGGATTTACTTGAGGTTAGAGAAGAAAAAAAAATCAGAAAAAGCTCATTGCAAGTGAGTCTCATGAACTCTGAAACACTAACACTGCATCCACTATCCAGATTGATCTGGAAACTCAAAGGGACACATATGGAAAGAACATTTTATTCAACAACATTGTTTAGAAAAAACAAAGTTATTAGGAAGATTGGCAGGCTTGCCACCTCCACATTAAACCTGGGAAGAAAAGGTCACTGAAAAACCATGCTGAAACAGGAGATATTAAGTCACACAATTTAAAT